CCCAATTGCCTGTATAAGTAACTGCAAACTTTGTTAGATACACGAACATATTTTATTCGCTACGTTGCTTTCCATGTTCATTCAGTAGAATTAATTACGTGATTACGCTGAATAAAATCAATGCTAAGATTCTCGTCCCATTTTCTCCTTTAAAAATTCCTTGGACGGTTTTGTTCCTTTTCTGATACGTGAAGGCATAAAATAAAATCAAGTTTAGATTTATTTTAGCTAATCGCTGCCTCTGTGTATACTTAAATAGAAACATTTTCAATACATACACTGAATGCATTAATGCATGTATTTATACCCGAGACGATATTTGGGTGGAAATTCATTGAAATTATTGTTTATTTGAGTGCCTTGCTGAATTTTCTGAAGAGAAAAATTATAAACAAAACGTAAAAGTATATTTCGAGGGGTGGGCGGGTGGGCGTTAGTCCTTGATTTCTAAATTGTCTTCATACCTGCGACTTCTCAGACAAACTTGATGGTGGTACAACACTTTTACTTTTTCTTATTTCTTTTTTTCTATATATTATTTTTTGCTTCTTCATTAAGTATTATATAAGTGATAGAAAATGTATCTATATACTTTAATAATACGGGTTTGTTGACGTTACGTACATAGTATGTATCAGTACATGTCAAAAAAATTTCTAGAGCATTTCGAATAATTTTTTTTTAGGATTTGTTTTTTTCTTTTTCTTTACACTTTAAGAATTGTTAGGATATCAATTTAAGTTAAGCTATATTGCATACTCAAAGTTAAAATATTCCAAGAAAAAGGAATAAGATTGATTGATTGTATATATGTGTATATTGTTTAACATATTTCTAGAGAATTTTTCAGTCATATGGAGATTTGGGCGTATACCAGTGAAGGGCTTCAAATTTAAACCTATACATGGCACTCAAGGCCATTGAGCAGTGAGGGTTCTTTATCGTGCCAATGCCTACCGTGACACGAAACCTACGTTTTTAAGGTCATATCCGAAAGACCCGTAACATTAACTACTGATTCCGAGCGCTTGGCGAAGTTGCAGTCACTACCTATTTTAACGTCTCGATTTGAAGAGGCGTCGCGAACAAGAATCGAACCTGGGCCTCCAGAGTACCACGCCAACGCTTTACCACTAAGCTACAGTGAACTGTAAAAATTTAATATGAAATACTTATTAATAAACAGTTACAACACGAAATCTAATAACAACCCAAAATTTAATATACCGGGATTATTACATTTTGCGCTAATACATTTTGCGTCAAGATCAACGCAAAATGTAACAGCACACTTTTTATAATTATTACATTTTGCGTGCGGAGTAGGGGGTTGTTATTATTATGAGGGGGTAATTTTGTTGTCCTTTGTTTTTGATTCTTGATAAGAATATAAAAAAATCTTCATGCATAAATTTAACTGGCAGGTGTAAAAATATAGCGAGAGGGGGTTTATTGACAATTATGATTCGATATCGTTCCATACTTGTAAATCGCGTGCATTGCAGACAACCAAAATTTCTCTCTTTTGCTCTCTCTTTCCTTTAATAAATGTCCATAGTACATGTAATACAATGATCAACATACAAAATACAAACGCTCAACTAAATCCATGCCAATCCTCACTATATAGACACATATATACATCCTCACTTCTAATTGCTTACCAATGTTATTTACATGCATTTCAAAAATATTAATAGAGTTCCACGGATTTATAGTCAATCTTTCCTAATTAAAATTGCTATTGCTTAGAAACGTAACATGACTCATTTATAAAAAGACATGTCAAAGTAAAATATTTTTTTTGTAGGTACAGTGATTAAAAAAATGTCAGAAACAGACTCAGGATTTGGAAAAAAAAATACATTTAGTTGTATTTATGTCTACAAAAGATGTTTCGCGTATTCACATCAGTGTCAGAGTTCTAGTAAAGCTAGTTTTCCCATGGTTTTGATATTTAAATTAATTTGATGATGTTTTGTGTAAAACATAATGCAAACATTAATCATAATTTATTTTATTACATATTGCCTTATTACATGTATCGCTGTTTTCAATGCAAATATTGTGTTACGCAAAATGTACAGTGAATTATATAAAAAAAATGCGCTATTTCATTTTGCGCTGATTCCGACGAATAATGTAATAACACAAAATGAAATAATCCAAAAATCGTAACATTTTGTGTTAGATTTTGCGCTGATCTGACACAAAATGTAATAACACAAAATGTAATAATCCAAGTTAATTACATTTTGCGTTATTACATTTCGCGTTGTAACATACATACTGTGGAATCGTTAATTCGTTGGGTCAATGCTCGTGAGTGAGCATTATTTTGCTGGTTCCTTGGGACACAATTTTTTGGGTAAATGCAACTCATATAGACAGAAGATTAAATCAATAAGCTTAAATACTTTCACAAAATAAATGTTCGTTGGGATGTAAATAAATAAAGGGTGATCCCAGAAATCCCCAAATATCGTTCCCACACAAAAATTGATAATAACACATGCAGGATCCCCATGCTACCTCTCTATTGCAGTACATCGTTCACGGTAGCTTTCGCTTCATAATCGGAAGGCCCGGGTTTGATTCTCGTTCGCGGCGAGCGTCAAACCTAAGTCGAAAAAATATGTAGTGACTGTAACGTCGCCAAGCGCTCGGCATCAAAAGTAAAAGTCACGGATTTTTCGGATATGACCTTTAAAACGGAGGTCCCGTGTCACAGTAAGCACTGGCACAGTTAAGAGCTCTCACGGCTCAATGGCCCTGAGTGCCGAGTATAGGTCTAAATTTGAAGCCCTTCACCAGCATACGGTCAAGGCTCCATGTGAGTGAACAATTCTCGAGAAGGACATTAAACAATAAAAAATCAATCAATTTATCTACTGGAATAAATATGTTCCTTGTTTATTATTAAATGACAGTTGAAATCCTTGCATTGTAGAAGGAATCTCATTCAGCGACGCAAGTGCACCTGCTGTGCTTTCATTCACCTATTAGAGAACACCAAACACGTAACGAACAAATTACTGTTTTACAAACGGTAAACTTGTTTACTTTGTGATTACCTGTGTAACTGGCAAAACGTACGGACGAATCACACGTATAGAAAAATAAAAATTATTAGTCAATTTGATAAGAATAATGGCTTTGGTGTTCCATGTAATAGTATTATATAGATATATGCATATGTTCAGGTGTGTGCTTATTAATTCCTTTTAATAAACTTATAATAAATGAAAATTGATCCATGTTATATTAAAGCATTGGCAGACCAGAGGGTGTTTTCGGAGGTTATAACCCCCCTTATTTTTGTACACACACACACAAACACACACACACACACACACACAGAGAGAGAGAGAGAGTAGCTTTTCGGTAATATAGATATTTATACGTCTGATCATTTGAAAAAAAATTCTGCTCACTAGATCTGTAGATTTTTGCGTAATTGCTTTCCTCCGTGTACCCTAACAACACTCCCTAAGGACTTGGAACATCCTCAAGTAACAAGCATTAAGGAAGATTCCAGCGAACTTTAGCTTTACCATTTTGGACCATCTTCAGAAGTTACTAACTTTTAGAAGTATGCATAAATATTTTTTATCAATATAGAAAAATGTTAAAATGTTCCTCTAGTGTACAGAATGGGGAAGGGGCTAACTTTTTCTGAGAATAATCTTTTGCTGCAGTTGTAAATAATATTTGTTTTGAAAGCTCCCTCCACATCTTTTGTTGCTGGAAAAAAGCAGATTTAAGATTGAAAGAAATGTAACGAACGGAAGAGTGACACGAAGCCTCCCTAAACCCTCTCCCAATTTTAAAGTGTCGATATAAGGAACCCGATATAAATATATAACATAACCCGATATTGGTCGTTCATTTCTAAATAGGAAATGTAGAAATATATACTAGGAGTTAAACTGTCTAAATATTTATTCAGCGGAGTATCCAGGAATTTGAAAACAGAGGGGGGGGGGCAGTAGAAGACGGGGAAGTCTGGGGCTGCATTAAAGCCCCCAGATGGTCCATGACAAAGCCCTGGTGGGAATCCAGGGGCGCCATATAGTGCCTAAGCCCCCGAAAAATTAGGAACTCTATAATGAAATATAGGTGTTTCCTGTTGATTTTAAGATTATACAAACACTTTTTTTTAAAAAAATCAAATGTGGGAATGGGTCACGCCCGGTGCCCTGGTGCTCGGTCCGTCTTTCAAATAATAATAATAAAAAATAAATATGAAGCGAGTGATGATATTTATTAACTAGTAATACGGTTAATATCGTTGAGATACGTTCGTTCTTTGCGTTTTTGGTGTTCTCTATATTGAGGAAACGTTATCTTGAACTTTCATATGTCGCTATGATTTGATAGTAATGTACTATAAAAGCGAGTAGATGTTAAATGTTTGTTGTTTGTGAGGTTTGAAGATTTCAACGAATTCATGGTTACCTCGAAATGGAAAATCCCGTAGTAGTTTTTAGCATATTCATTTCATATCAATACCTCAATGCTATCTTTCTTTTATCCAAAAACAGAAAAAAAGAATAGCCGAACTGTATATTTCTGATTCTCTTTTATAATGTTTCCAACCCACGACTCTCTTTGTATGCTCATTAAATATCATGTTTTTTTAAATAGATAGTAGATTTGAAAAACCTTCATTTTTTTTTAAATTGAAAGCAGAGACAATATCAAAAGAAGTTATGGTTACGAGTCATTGACAAAATGCGGCCTCGTGATACAGCCTGGGATTGGATATTGTGTACTATCTACCAAAGGTATGTCGTGAATTATTTTGAAAAATGAACGGGTACTCTGGCCTTTAAAAATCGAGCACGACGCAATTATTTCTTTTATTGATTCGTGTGAATTTTTCTCCTTCTAGAATAGGCCTTTGCTCTGAATCTCTAATTCATAGGTTTACTGTGGATATTTATCTATGTTTTAAATTAAAGCACTTTACGCAAAATCAATTCTTTATTTAAAAAAAATTACAGAATTGTACAAGGGAGGAACCGTTTCTTTACTTCTTCTTTTTGTTCTTCGGGGGGAGTTAGGTTTGTTCTTGCATCTGCCTCCGACATTCCACATTCCTTGGCTTTCTTCTTGAGCAGTTCGTGCGATTCTTTGAACAAACTGTCTGTGTAGCACTCGAAATCATTTTTTTCATACATACTTTCAACCTTATTAAAAAAATCGCACAACTGGTTTTCCATAACTTCTCCTTCTGCCTTATTATTTATACCGATGTATCTTCCGCCTTTCGTTAGATCTTTTATTACCGGCTCAGCCTCGTCAATGAGCCTTTCCAATGAGTTGTCCCCCAAATCGTCGAGTCTTGTGAACACGACAAGAAGATATTTCAAGCACTTATTGTCAAAAACTCTTTTTAACTCTTTCAAAAGAGTTAAATGTTCCTTAGTTATTCGACCTAATGCAATAACCAGCGCTACAACATGGAATCCGGGACTTAAACACCAAAAGCATTTAGATAAAATATCTAATGCTCTTTTGTTGTTTTCGTCATCTTTTTCGATTCCTGGCGTATCAAACACTACAATTTCCTTGCCCTTCCTATGACCAACTCCACAAAAAACTTTCTGAGTTAAAGACTTAGTACTGCAACCTGCAACAAAATCTTTGCGTCCAAGAAGAGAGTTTCCAAATGTGCTTTTGCCACTTCCAGGGATGCCAATAAGAAGAATGTGTCTGGTATCTTTGTCATTCCTGAGAGACCTTTCTAATTCACTTTCTTGTCCTGGGGATCAAAATAAAAAAAATTAAATTATCAGCAACAATAATCGAGCTATATTCAAGAGAAACTAATTAAAAAGAACAATAGAGAAATAAGATTACCTTCGATGTAAAGGTTTTTGGACGTATCCGGTTGAACAGAACATTCTAAATATAAAAAAAAGAGTTTATGACTTTTTTCAGACATTTAGATCTAAGGACATTTTAACAATTGATAATTTTTATTGATATGCATTTCGGAATTAATTCCTTTGCAAATATATGCTTAAAAGATAAAACACATCCATTGTTTTACTAAAGGGTCCTAAAAATCGAAATGATGGAAATGGAATGAATAAAATAGTGGAATTTTACACATTTTACTGTAGACCGTAGACGTTTTTTTTTATTTTTATTATTTTTTTTAAGTGGAGTTTAAATATTGTTAAATATCGGGTTTACCACCAAGGAATTCTCTTTTAAAGTATAGTATCATCACATAATCACTTAGGTATTCTATTTTAAAACGACCTCACTTGGTCAGGGTACATTGATTCTATCGTAGCTAATGCATATAAAAAATAAGGTCTACTTAAAAAATTGCAGTTTAAAGTCAGTGCAAAAACTTTATCTCTTTTATATACTACTTTTATAAGACCTAAGTTAGAATATGCAACCGAAGTTTGGTGTGGGTGTTCTAGTCAAAATTCTGAAAAACTAGAAAAATTACAACTTGCAGCAGCAAGAATAGTCACTGGATTAACCTCATTGGCATTGCGAGATTCTCTCTATTTTGAAACTGGTTGGGAACCACTTGCTGTTAGACGAATGTCCAAAGTAAGAACAACTATGTACAAAATATTTCATAATATGGTACCCGGTTATTTGAAAGAAATATTTCCAAACATTCGATCACAAGAATCAAATTACGTAACAAGACAACACAAAATTACTGTATCCCTAAGTGTAGATTAAATATTTATAAATCTTCGATTGTTCCAATGGCAATAAGGGAATGGAATTCTTTATCTCTTGAAACAAGACAATCCACTGCAATTGGTTCCTTCAAAATTTGTGTAAACTCTCAGAAAACACCCACCCCGTCATTTTTTACTTTTGGTGATCGTTACTGGAGTGTAATTCATACTAGATTAAGACACAATTGTGTCCTAAAAAAAAGACTTATTTAGGTGTAATATTATTGATAGTCCACTGTGTACTTGCGGAAAAATAGAAAATGCATATCATTTCTTTTTTTCTTGTGTGAACTACACTGCCCCAAGAAACGATTTGTTCAATGCTATTTTTAGAATGATAAATTTACGTATTGTAGACACTCATGTTCTATTATGGGGAGATAATTCGATCAGTATTTCTGAAAATGAAAGTTTATTTTTAAATGTGCAATTGTTTATTAAGAGATCTGGTCGTTTTTGAGTAATGCTTTTAGATTTGTATGTCCATACTACATTATTTCAATTCTGTATATATGCATTGCCTATGTTAGATGATTTTATTGACCTTTGGTTCCTGTGTAAATTAATTTTGAACAATGTACTTTGTGTTACAAATTGTTTTTAAAGGAGAGGACGTTCTAAGTTTTTAAAAACTTGTGTCCAATCCTTTTGTAATAACATCAAAACAATAAAATATGTTCAAACCAAATATTGTTACTTTATATATCCGAATATTTTATCAATAAAGACAACTCAACATGCATAGCTGATTTTTTTAAAAAAGATATGTGATAATATATCTCCTTTGCTTTCTTGTCTAATTGACAAAATAATTGTTTATTAGAAACGTTCAAAACTTAAAAAAAAATTGGTTTCGTATTTAATGATACAAATATTTAATCAAAATTTATGATACAAATATTTAATTCAGAAATGCTGATAGACAAGATTTGTCTCACAATTGACTGGCTGATATACATTGTTTAGAGTAAAAGTGAATGATCGATTTTTCTTTTTAACGTTTGTCGCGGGTTTGCTGACCCGATAAATCTGGACCGTACGCAATTTATATGATCTGGATGTCTTTCTTGTACACATGATGATGACGTCACAATAAAAAGGGAAAATTCTGTTCATCATCAAATAGGTTTATATAGATTCAAACAAGTTGCCATCCTTTACAAAAAGGACTACAATACGTGGAGCATTTTGCATGTGTTTTTAACCGAAATTGAATTAAAGGAAATTTCTGAGTTTATTGGACATTCATGCAGACCCTAGCAAAAAAAATACTATAGTAAACTATAGTCCTAAAAACTGATTTATAAGACTTAAATTTTAATGTAAAAGTTGTCTCTTGATAAATAAGCAATTTTCATTTAAATATATTTAATTCTGATGTTGCGTAGATGAACTTAAGTCTTATGAATAAAAAAAAAATACTATGAAATAAAATCTAAGTCATTTTGCATCAAAATATTTGCTTCATCAACTTAAATCAATGTGTTTTTTTTTTACTTCTGTTAAATGTATGTATTGCATTTGAATTAATAACTTTTTTATATTGAAATTAAGAATAACAGCATTTACTATTAAATCATCAAAACACTTACATTAGAATACATAAGTTGTTAAAGTAATTAAGGAAAAACTTTAATTTAATTTGAAATTAAGTCTTATGGTGCTGTTCAAAGAATTTTTTTAGAGGACTAAATTACACATAAAAATCAATTTACAATTGGTGCCAATAATTCTTTAGGAAAGTGAAATGTGTGAATGTGTGCGTTAATCTCAAATATTTTTAACGTAATTAAAGGAATTGGAAGCGTTTGAGTGTACATGTATAACGGCGCGTATCCGTCAAACGACGTTCTATAGGTGCGGCGACTACCTTAATCGGACATGAAATATAATTCGATATTTTGAAAAATATATATTTTGTTTTGATTTGATTTTTCAGGACTGAAAAACATCTCTGAGACCAAAGTGCATAAGCATGCTTTCCTTGATAATTCTTATATATCAGACTGTAGATCTTCAAAATGTATAACCATGATAAAAATTTCAAAAGATTTCGTCGAAAAAGAAGAAAGATATGGAGACTTTAATTTCAGCCAATCAGAGCAAAGCGCACGTCATGCGCGTAAGATCTTATTATTTTGACCATGTGCACTTATCTATGCTTCTTATATGTCCATATAATTTATGAGTTTCAAAGCATTTCATCAAGAAATTAAAAGGTTATGTCTACATCAATTATAATGGAAATTTCTCATGTTGCACGTGCGCGCTCTTGCAAGAACACGTGCATGTGCATGCTTTCATGATAAATCTTCTATACATGCATTAGGCTGCATCATCTTCAAATGCATGACATAGTTTAAAATTTCAAAGTGTTTTATAAAAACAAGAAAGATATTGAGACTTTAGTTTCAGCTAATCAGAGTGACGTGCACGCGCATGCGCATGAGATCTTGCTATTTTGACCATGTCACCTTATCTTTACTACTAATATATCCTTATACTTTGAGTTTCAAAGCATTTCATCAAAAAATGAAAATGTTAAGTCTTTGTCAATTGCATTGATCATTTCAAGTGTTGCACGTGTAGACTCTTGCAAACACGGACGCGCAAAATGACCTTCGTTCCGGAAATCTACACAACTAGTGACATTATAAAGGTTTTACCTTAATCAAATGTGTAGTTTACAAGATCTCTCGCGGAAAAAAAAACTCCCAGGAAGAAAAAAACTAATGATAACTAGAAACGATTAACGAGAGGTCTTCCGTCCGATTCCGAAAAAAACAGTTGAATCGAGCTGAAAATTGATTAAGAGATCTTTGGACACAATGGTTATGAAAGGGGTCACCAGAGTGAAAATTCAACACGCTTTCTATTACGCTATTTGATCCCCTACTCTAAATTTACTTCTATGTACATGTAATTCTGCAACAGTTCATCTGTCTTAGAATTACGGAAGGAGAGTCACTATTTATAATTTCGCTCCGAACGCCACAAGTAAATCTTTGTGCCTTCTCTATGGAGTTTTATATTAAATAGGTGTTACCCTCAATGAAATAAAACATAGAGCGTTCTTATCGCCTAAATTTCGAGTTTTAGAAAGTATATTTAACATCGTACATATTACATATCGTATCTAGCCAAGTAACACTAAAGCAGTGAAACGGCAATTAAGTTTTAATTTTTGTTTGGATATTTAACGTATTTGGTTATAGTCTTAGAAATTCTGTGGATTTTTTCGTCACTAATCTTACAAATTAGGTTTCAAATTAAACAATGTTATTTAAGTGAAGACCAAAGTAAATTTCTGAGTCGTTTCTTAAAAGTTGCGACGTTCATTCTTTTACCATCTAACAAGGACATTCTCGTAATTGCGTTGATGGATTTTCATGAAACTTTTAGCATTGATGACAAATTATAGGAACTTAAGGTGTTTCTATTTCAATTTGATGACGTCACTTCCGGTTCGGAGTTTTCTGCTATTTAGTGAGTTTTAGAGGGTCATTTTGTCCGGCAGTTTTCCCAATAATGGCTCAAGATAGAAACATGAAACTTTCAGGTATGATAGACCAAAGTCTATAGACATGTATAAGGTATTTCATTTTTATTGGAAGTGCCGCACCTCGGCGCTCGCTATGGCCCAAAAATAGTCCTATTGCGAATTTCACGATTTTTAACAACTTTTCTACAATATCTTTTTTACCTGGAAATACTTTGTTAAAACATATAGAAAAAAGAGGTGCAGAATTTCAAGATCTTTCAAATGACATGTCGAAAAAGGGCTGGCCCCTAATATAAAGGGTCTAGAGGGGCCGAAATTGGTTTTTTATATCTCAAAAAGAATTGAGAATTTGTAATAGGTCAAAGAAGCAAAGTTGTTCAAAATGTCAAGCTTAATCTATTGAAGTCGTAAAAATACGTCCGGCGTCGTCACTTCCGGCCTAACTGGAAGTAGTTGAAAAACGCGTAATTTTGCTGTTCTTGACAAGTTTTCGAATAACACATGTCTCTGGGAGCATAATAATTAATTTTCTGTCGTAATACTCATTTCTGCATTAATTAACATGGTTTTAGAGGATTCAAAGCATTCATGGGCGTTATTTCTCATTTTTGTTAAAAATGAAAGTTACTTCCGATCAAACAGGATGGAAAACCTACTCGTTGCGTGGCAACGAGCTTTGCTCTAGTAAT